ACACTAAAAGAATCGCGTGGTGAAGCATTACGCCGGGGCGGCGTGGTGCGCAGCGCTGCGGCCGCTCTGAGGGCGAAGAGCTCCCCGCGGCGGAGGCCTGAGGGGGAGCGGGGCTGGAGGGGGACAGAGCCGGCTTTAGTTCGCGTGTCAGCGGAGAGAGCTGAAGTTGGTTTCTCAGCCTCAGCGGCGTGCGGAAGGCCAAACAAACCCAAAATGTCACGGGAGGTGACGGTCCCGGCGGTGACAGAGCGAGGCCCTGGGCGAGGGGGAGCCTCCGTTTCCTGCCGGGGCGCCGAGCGGTCTGCGCGGGTCGGTGTCCAGCCCGTCTGCCGGTACCGCCTGGCACCTCAGGTACAAATCCTCTTTTCCTTCCCGAGAGGAATAAAATAACCCACGGTCGCCCTCCGGGGCGCGTGGTGGTTCGGAGGTTCTCCGAGGCTTGCTCCGAAGTCGTGGAAGCACACGGCGTGGGATGGCGTCTCCGGCCTCTGAAGCGCGATGCGGCACGAGAAGCGTTGCGCTGCACGCAAGACTCTATAAAAAGGTTATTCAGGTCAGAAGCAAATGAGGTAGCTATTAAAAGTGACTCATGGCACAGCGCTGTCAGCATAGTTGGAAGCTTGGAACTGAATAAAACAGTGTAAGGAGCAAACTTGTTCTGTACGGTACTAAATATATAGCACTTCGTCTTGTGTAATAACAGAAGTGATGCACATTGGTCACCTCATTTTGCAGCTTCTTCAGGAGCGCTTGGTATAGGTCTTACACCCACCGTAATACCTAATCCGTTTTTTGTAAATACTACAGCTCTGTGAAGCAAGGTAATATGTGTTTACTTCAGCTTCTTACGCTAAGCTCCCTACATTTTATTTTTTCTGACTTCGGCTCATCCCTGTGTGTTCATAGGTACTCCCCATCTGAATGATAAAAAGATCCCAGTGAAGTTCAAAGCATAACTGTAGCTTCACCTATGTCCTCATGAAAAATAAAGGATGCATTGCTGATGAAATTGGAAAGGTTGATAGGCTTCTGTAACCAGAAAAAAAGGAACAGAACCTTGTATGGGAAACAAAATATATGAGGACTATGGCTAGGAGACAAAAATGAAACAGAGGATGGAACTGAGTAAGCAAATCTGTAAAGATGTAAGTGCAGGGTTTTGGAGAATAAGGAACAGTCAAAACTCAATTGAAGCTATTTGAAGAATGCCACGTCCTACTGATACTATGTTCACCACAGGCAGTGCAAGTGAAAAGAAAAAGCTAAGAAAACCCAAGAAAGATAACAACATGAATTGTAAATAGGAAAGGGAAAGATAAGGTTAAAAATTAAATAATTAGGATGAAGAAAATGTCATCCATCAAAATGGACAGACTTGCAAAAAAGAGAAGAGACTGGGAGTCAGGGCGTGCTAGAGAAAGAAAATCTTACAATAGTCCCACAGTTCTAGGGAGGACAGAAGTAAGATGGTTAGTTTTAAGTGAAGAAAGGGAAGGACCAAAATTAGAAGAACGATAAAAAGCCTTTGGAAGTGGAATAGGATGCATACATTTTTGGAATATCAGCAACATTTGTCTTTCAGAGAATCAGTATGAAGAGCTGGGTATTGATGATTAGATATTAACTTGGAGTATCCAAAAGGGCAAGGATCCTCATGCTGCCCATGTGCTGTTAGGAAGACAGACTTGTAGAGAAAAAAACCCAAAACGGATAGTGCCCAACAAAACATTGAGCAGTCAGTCCTGTTTAAAAACACCAACTGAGAAAAATACTTTGGTTCACTACTTGTGAATGTAAGGCATGTAGGTCCCTTGTGAAAATTTTGCTCTAAGCTGGACACAAATCCAGAAGCGGAGACAGAGCGATGGAAATGAGGGTTGTGGGGTGCTGCAGAAGGAGACAGGACAGTGCAGGACATAGGAAAACTCAGTAATGGTGATGACATGCACAGAAAGGAGTCCCATTGAATGACCTAGCTGGTGAGGAGTTTTGTTATTAAAAAAAAGGGGAGGGGGGGGGGGGAAAAATGAACAATGTATTTTTGACATAGAAAAGACATTTGCTTTTTGTTTGGAGAAAACAGTAGGCAGGTGAGGCATTCATTTGCTGGTTGCACTGTATTTAAATGGTGTTGATGTTTAGTAGGACACTTAGGAGGTTGCATAGTTTTGACACCAAGAGTTTTAATGATAGGTTTGTAAAATGATGAAAATGTGGAAAGATTTTAGATGTTAAATTGATATATAACAAATGAAGTAAGACGTCCCAATGCATTGTGGGATATATGTATCTTAATCTGTATTTTAGATAGTAAGGGGAGAGAGTATATTCTTCGGTGTTTTCTTTTGGATAGAATCTTTTACATTTATCAGTCATCTTGTTGTGGAAGGTCAAACGGAAACCAAGTGTTAAAAGGATAACTGTTTGCTAGCAAGATTTTGCTGAGAAAGAGAGCATCTTTAGCAGTCTACACTATCAAAATTAGTATGAATTCTTGTTTTGATTTTTGCTTAGGTAAGCTTGTGACTACATGCAGTAATATTAAAAAGATTGGTCAGAATTAAACCTGGCAAAGGAGACAAATATTAATTCAGCATTATCTAATCTCAGCCCGATTCAAGAGCTGACCAAGAAAATGGAGAATTAGTAAAGATGTGCATAGATGAGCTGACCAGAAAGGGATAGTAGTAGAGATTGTATATGACTGATCATTAATGTTCTGGTCAGTTCTCTTTGGGGTATTTTTGCTTACCTCATCTGGCTTTCTTGTTTTATTTTTTGATAGCAAATTCTGTTTCAGCCAATGGGCTAGAATTTCCTGACTTTGTAAAGCTGCAAATACATTTTAATCTCAGGCTTATATTGGTGCTAGTTTAAAGACATGTTGAAGTGTGCAGTAGGGCTTCTTTGCCTTTTACAGATCATTCATAGGTGGCTCCTGGTTTCACGGTTTACACTTTTTAAATGATTCATACTACTCCTTTTGATAATACATGAATTAGTAGTTAAAATCAATGACCCTTGAGAAAATCATTGTATGCCCATCGGCAGCTGACTGGACCACAGCCTTGCAACTATACGCTGCAAGAGAACCTCTGCTCATGCAGAACTGAAGAGAAAGGACATAATCAAATACCAGAAACCCATTTATGCCAATGCAGGCAAAACTGTGACTTTCCATAGCTGCCCATTCCTCATT